AACCTTCCTTAGTCTGCACACCTTACCATCCTCCCCCTGAGCAACAAACCCTGGAGGTTGCTCCATGTAGACCTCCTCAAGTAAGTCACCATGCAAAAAGGCATTCTTGATATCAAGCTGATATAGTGGCCACTCATACATGGCTGCAAGAGAGATCACAACACGAACTGACCCTATCTTAGCAACTGGTGAGAAGGTCTTTGTGTAGTCAATACCATAGATTTGGGAGTACCCTTTTGCAACCAATCGCGCTTTCAGGCGTTTAACACTACCATCAGGCAGATACTTAACTGTATAAACCCATTTACAACCAACAGCTTGCTTCTCAGGAGGAAGAACGGTGAGATCCCAAGTATAATTATGATGAAGGGTTGAAAGTTCTTCTTCCATCGCACGGCACCACCCTGGAGAGGCAAGGGCTTCCTAGACATCCTTAGGGACAACAACTGATGATAACAAGGTGACMAACTGGCGATGGGARGCGGAAAGGTGAGTAAGTGAAACATAATTAGAAATAGGATGAAGGGTGCAAGTGCGCTTACCTTTCCGCAAGGCAATGGGGAGATCAAGCTCAGATGTTGGGTTCGAGTCTGGAGCCGGATCTGTCGAAGGAGATGTAGCCGGAGTAGTAGCTGGTACGCATGGGCGATGTGTATACACATGACAGATAGGTGGGCATTCAATAGGTGGTGGCACCGGAGGCAAGGATTTGGTCACGGCTGGAACAAGGGGAAGAGGGTCGGCAACGGGAAGTGGAAGAGGAGGAGGTGATGAGGAGGAAGAAGCATCACCGGACCCCAAAAAGAATGGAGTAGACTCAAAGAAGGTGACATCAGCAGACACAAAGGACCGTCGAGAACTAGGATGGTAACACTTATACCCTTTCTGGGTCCGAGAATAGCCAAGGAAGATGCACTTAAGAGAACGGGCATCGAACTTGTCATTCCCGGGACCCAGATTATGGACAAAGCAGACACACCCAAATACCCTAGGCGGAAAAGGGAACGAAGACAAGGCGGGAAACAAGATTGTAAACGGAGAATGACCATCAAGGATGAACGTGGGCATCCGATTAATCAGAAAGCAAGAGGTAAGCACCGCATCACTCCAAAAGGGTTTGGGAACATTCATGTAATGCATGAGGGATCGTGCTGTTTCCAAGAGATGGCGATTCTTTCTCTTAGCCACCCCGTTTTGTTGTGGGGTGTAGGTACATGAGGTCTAATGTATAATGCCGTGTTGGTCCAGGTATTCTTGAAATGATGACGATAAATATTCGCGGCCATTATTAGAACGGAAAACTTTAATGTGAATAGCAAATTGATTACGAATCTCAGCATAAAATTTCTGAAAAATGATAAACAATTCACTTCTTTCTTTCATTAGGTAGAGCCATGTCATCCTTGAAAAGTCATCTACAAAAATGACAAAATATCTRTATTCATTATATGACATCACCTTATAAGGACCCCAAACATCGGA